AAAAAAAAAAAAAAAAAGTTTATTAAATATTTGCTGAAAGACTATTTTCAGTGAAGTCCTATTGAGAAGTTAGATTGTAGCACTCCAAAAGCATCAGTCTGCCTCAACTTGTTAATGGTTAATCAAAAATCTATGCTACAAGGTAAGGCTTAACAGATGAACGAGAGATTTCACATAGACTGGGTATGCACCATATCCTTGTATCACTGTACAGAAAACTTTTGTTCAAAGACAAAAGAAAATACAGTCTTCCCTGCTGTTTGTTTTGCATGCCAAAACTCTATACTTAAAATTCCAGATTTATTTCCTCCTATTATTTATAATTAGCTGATGAAACATCCCTGCTTACGAAATGCTCAGTTTTTATATTTTAAGAAGTGTCCTTCCGACAGCACTAATCATAGGAGGAGTCAGGAATGCAAAATTGCCAACTGTAACCTAAAATGTATTTAATCTCACTGATTTACAATAGCACTTTAGAAATCTAATGAATTATAAGTATTCCAAATATACAAAGTAATCACAGTGATTTTGGAAATGTAAGGTTTAGAAGAGAGTAAGAGTATCAAATTATCTGTGTTTATTGTTAGCTCTTTAGTTTTTTTGTTTGTTTGTTTGTTTTTAACAGCAGCATTGATCCTATGGTATGACAAATCACAGAAAACTAATACTGCAATGTTTGTTAACTGTGGATGCTAATTAGTTTCTATAGGCGTATGTATGAGTAAGAGAAGTGCACATTGTTAACATTTGAGCAAGACAAATTTTAAACAAGCATATTTAAAATCTAGGATTCCCTGTTAGTGTCACAATGCAATTTAATACAAAAAGGAAAAAAGACTTTATCACTGAAATCAATTACCATGCAATCAGTCACAGTCACTGACCACTGGTACAGGTGTAGGGTTATGCTGATCACAAAGCAGCAGCAATTTTTAAGAGCCTCTGTTCTAAGTATTTGTCACCCTTAGTTTAAACAACTTAACTTCTGTGCCCTTACTGAGAAGAGGTTAAGATGCGGAGCTGCTTGCAAAAATAGAGAGACTGCTATTGAATGTAGGACCTCACACTTTCAAATAATACAGCAAGAGCAAAGCAGTCAAATCTGGTTTGGGTTAATTTTATTAAAGAAAAACATAACCATCGACAGAGTATATCTTCATCCTGAAATTAAGAAAAAAAATCAAAAACATAGCTAGAAAATATTACAGTATCAAACTTCGAGATGAATATAGGTGCTTTAGCAACATATGTTCCTTCCAGTGAAAATAGCTCTGCTTCATAGGACTTAAATAGGATATATATTCCTGAGGCACATGAGGGTCCTTTAAAATGTTACTGTTATTTTAGTTGCTGTGATATATTTTGTTCTTTTTTAGTGACTTGGTCCTTGTCATGTAGGTGGGTTTTCATTTTTTTTTTTTTTAAATTGATATTTCCAGAACTATGCAAAGCTTATTCCTGGAGCTACTGTTGGGCAACTACAGAAAGATTCTGGAAATATTCTCCAGCTGATCGTTGCTGCATATCAGGTAAGGTGCCTATAATGTGTTTTCTGGTTGCATGTTTATATTCTCAGAATTAGACTGCCATTTTTTAAAAACAAAGATCTTTGGTAATTTTCAGTGTTGATTTCAAGACCATTGTTATTTATGCATAAGTGCCAACCTTTACAGCAAATCTCTTTCTCTCTGAGAATTGAGTGTAGAGACAGTGGCTTTGTTTGTAATGATATTACATTCTATTCTTACTCTAGCTTCCTGAAAGCCTTAGTTAATAGAATGGTTTGGTAGGATTCACCCTCTTAAATGAGGAAGTAAAAAAAATAATTATTTAGAAATTGTTCAAAATATAGAGCCACAACATTAAGATGCTTTTGCTAGTCAGTCAAGTCATTATTAACCTGTTTTAATTATTAGCTGTAGAACTGTCATAGGGCAAAGTAATTGGAAACAATTAATATAACCAGTACCTGTTTTCACCATGAAGTTCCCTTTGGAAAACATGAATGGTAGTAGGTATCACGGCATCAGCAATTTTTCTAGCAGCACTTCGCTGAAAAGCTCCTTTTATATATTCATCCTCAATTCTGCATGTTTATTTTCAATGAATATTCAATCTGTTAATTGCAGCTACCTTTATTATTTAAGGTTGAGTATCATGTTATTCAGAACTATATCCCATTTCCCTTCTTTTCCTTTCTTTTCTCCTAGAAAATTTATTATTCCTTACTTGAATTGGAATGCTAAATTTTATGTCAGTGTATCATTTATCTTGTCTTCATAGTCCTCTGTTTCAAGCTTGCTGTAAATTTTTCCTTAGCGTAAGTATTAGCTCTTCCACCATGATGCAGCTCTATTTCTATCAGTAACTGTCACCAGAGCATATATGCAACTATTCTGCAAGAATATCTGTAAAAGAAGCACTATTCTGCAGTTACTGCTATGCTCTACTTTAGCAATTTGATACTGCCCCTGTGAGGCTGTTTGATGTTTTGAAAGCAGAATACAGGCTGAGAAAGAGGATTTGAATGAGTTTCTTTATATTATATAGAGAAATATGAAAAGATGACAGGAACATAAACACAGTGCTGCTTTTTAGACATTTTTACAAATTTTTGAACAGAAATAGATATAATTTACTGATGTACCATAGATTTCTGTCTGTTCTCTCCCTCTCACATTTTATTAAAACCCTGCTCTACCCATTGCTACAATTAAAAATAGTTCTATGAAATTCCATTTTCTATTTTTTACTTAAAAATTGTTACACTATTCCTCCTATAAGCTGAATAAGAAAATCATTATTTTAACCAAAATTATTTTGGTCTTGGTGATAGAAAAGCAAACCAAATTCTTTTCATTCTTACAAAATCGATGCAATTGTTTTTTATTATGTTTTTCAAATGAAATACAAATACCAGAAGATTCCCTATCCTTTGGAAAATTAAATATGCAAAGAACTTTAAGATTAATCATGAGACTCTATAATAGTAATAAATTCAGAGGGAGAACTTTGCATGAATAAACTCGGGGCTAAACTTGCAGTGGAGTCAGGATTTTACTCTAGAAATCTAACATATCATTAGTCCAATCTGTCAAGATTTATTGAAGCTGGCACTGTAAAGTATAGACAGAGGTACCTCTATTTAAACAGCTGGAAATGGGCAGCGTTTTGTCACCTGATGAGTAATGGAGAAATATAAAGTATTTTTTATTAGGTGCAGAAAAATGATGCATCTGACTGCGTTGTCATGGCAGGCATCTACAGCTGCTGTATTATAGCTATTGGAGAGTATGTTCTTGCCTATTTCATACCTGCTGTGCATGATGTTTTTTCTAATCCCCTTTTTGAACTTGATGATATTTTCTGTCTCCACAGTCTCTGTAGCAAAAGGTTCAATTGCACTGATTTAAAAAGTACTCTTGTTTTCTCATTTCAAGTCAATTTCTGTGTTTTAAAATTTCACTGAATGCCCCTTCAAGTACTTCAGAATTTGGTGAATAACAGGTTTGCATCCAGCGTATATTCTTCTACTCTTCATGATTTTGTAGTTTTTCATCACCAAGACGTGTCCCATTCCGTATCTTCTCTTTCTGCTCCTTCTCCCAGCATTTCAAATCTCTCCTCAGGTGCTCTGTTACCTCTTTACCTTCTCTGACTTCACTGTGTCTTTCCTGAGATGTGGAGACCAGAACAGCACGTAGTACTCAAGGCAGGGTACATCAAGGTTTTATATAGAAACAAACGGATGCCCCTCTCTTGTTCTCTTGTACTGATGGCCAGTGCAGTGTTGGCTTTTTGGTTGCTCCTGCAGTTTGAACGGAAGATCGCACAGAGCTGTCAGTGGTGACCTCGGGTGCTCTTTGCTGAGCCCAGGTCAGCTGTCCTTTGGGTGCAGTTTGGGCAGGGTTATGAAATCGGTGCTCTCTCCCCTCCTATAGCAGCTTTCTGCTGGGTGGATGCAGGAATGGTGTTACTGCAATCAGGTCATAACTCATTCTGTCCTAGTTCAAGTACAGCATGTCTAGACCATCCACCAGAAGTGCTTATACATTCTTAATATCCCACATACATTTCAAAGTGTACAAAGTGTACAGGTAGGAGCATGTCATGGTTTCAAAATATCCTAAAGTCCATTTTATTACATTTAACCTTAAAGGTTAACAATCCTGTCATTTCAGGATCAAAAATCTTCCAAGCAGGAAAGACTGAGAAATACCTTATTTGACATGAGTGAAGAAATGGGAGGTTTTTTTAGGGTAGGAAAGGGCAAACAAGGGTAGGCTTACAGTTAAAAATCACATGCTAAACAGAAGAGCTAATCCGATTTTTTTTTTCACAGACCTTCTACAATGTTCCCAGCACTGTAATTCAACTCCAAATGTCTCTATTTCTTCACCTGCAAAACAGGAGTAAATAAGCATTTGCCTCATGGAGTAGTAAAAATCTTTTAACGTGTTTAAAGTACTTCAGGGTCTGTGCTTGCTGTACAAACATGAGATTTGCTAATATCGTTCATGCATGTGTTGCTATCTAAAAGCTTCAAGAGAGGAAGTAAGCAACTTAAGAAAGTCTGAGCTGTCAAAATATTTGTTACAAAGAGTTCTCATGTTCTTCCTTAGTATGATTCATTTTCTTCTGTAAGTGTATTTCTGCCTGCCTCTCTTTTTTAAGGTTAAATCTGCATAGGTCTGTATCACACAATCCCAGTTTAAATTGCATTGTGCTGAAATCAGGCCTTTTGATGAAAAACGTATTCCAGCATTTTAAAATTTAAGAATTTTTTTTTGTGCTTGGTGCATGACATAGTAAGATTGAGGAAATAACACCCTTTTAAGCACTTTTAAACATTTATACGCTTTTAAAAGAGTATAAGTACCCTATCAAGTGCACAAGTTTATAACACTTCAGTGTTCTTTTACTCATAAAAACCTGGAAATACAAATCTTTCTCTGCAAGTGGCTTAAAGCTCACTGAGCTGTCCATAGTTTGTCCCAAACTACAGGCAAATTAATACATTTGAAACACTACAAGAAGGTCTAAGGTCTAAAAAAATGGATTTGTCATGGAATATCCATTCAGTCTCACCTGAGTAAGGTGCGATGACTGCACACTTCTCACAGAAATAAATGGGTGCATGTTCCTAACAACCTGGTACAGATACTGTGATTTTAACTACTAGGAGCTTGTGCTGAGCAGCATTTAATTTTATCTTGCAGTTGCACTCTGAGTCTTGTAGTCTTGCACCAGGCAGAAGTAGGAATATTTAGTGACATACCATGTTACTTTACTGTGAAAGTCAACTTTCACAGTTTTATCTTGAGTTTTATTTGATCCTGGAGTCCTTCTGATGTAAACAAGTTGTTTTCTAAGAAACTCTGCATTGCTTTAATAGCAACACAAGCATCTAGCTCCGAGACAAATGGGAGGGAAAAATCAAATGTATCCAGAGCGAACCACATAACCAACCTCATGCCTCATACACGGCTTCATTGCTCAGACTGCATGCTGGAAAGAGGACTGGGTATTTTGTGAATATGTCTTATATGATACGTGTTCTTGTCGTTTATTAAAGTTATTTGGTTTACTGAAAAGGTCTAAATGAAAGCTCATAATAAAAAAGCCTAGGACAAACCTGCAGAGAATCCAGCACATGTTCAAAAGTTAGAGAACAATTCTCTATGTGGGTTTATATTTATTCTACTTTTTGATTTCAGGTAATACCACTGTATTCACCACACCCTTACTACAATGAGTCATCCTGATTCCTTTACTAGAATGACTCACTAAGGGAAGGTCAACAAGCTCCTACTGCTTTGAAGTGCAGCGGATATTTTGAAAAGCATTTGAGCTTGCAACAGCTTTAAAGCCAATCAGCGAGACTTTTGCTCCTCTGTTGCTGAGGTGCTTCTGAAAAAATCCCTTTTACTGGAACCACAGTCTAGTGAAGTCATAGGGAATTTCCACATGGCTTGATATAGACTTTGGATTAGGGCTGCTGTGTAATCAAAATCGACATAAAAATATTTTGAAGTTAAATATAATAATAAAAAAAGAGTATGAGAGCACTCAGGAAGTAAATTGAAGAGTGTTTTTTCATTTAAGAAATGTAAGCTTTATTGTACCAATTGATTTAAGAAATGAGGACAGTGTTGGATATGTCTTCAAATAGCATCAGCAGCTCATGAAGCAACAATTTCCATTCAGGGGAAAAAGCACCAAGTGAGCTACACAACTGTATGGACTATTTGTGGAATTAGATTCTGCTCTTGCCCTGAAAGAGTTATGGGGGAGCCTCACACTGAGGCAAAACTGGACTTGACATCTGCCCTACTCTAAGAGGGACTGTAAGGCTTGATTCTAATAGTGGAGATAAACAAAGCATATGTCAATATTGTTCTGGCTATTCAAGTGGTAGCAATGCAATCAGAGATAAATATCCATTCCTCAGTAAGATCGGAGACAAAGCCTGTGTCAGACAACAGAGCACTTAGTAATAAAGGCTTTAATAAAGCATTGAAGTTATTCCCCTGGAAGGGCAGGAAATAAGCACCATGATACAAGATATTCAACTGATACTACCAGAGCTTTCATCTGAAGGCTGTTTCTGTTGGTGCTTTCTTTTTTACTCATTCTCCATTTTTCTTGCAATAGAGAAGTATGTAAATAAAGTGCCAAACCCATTAATTTACTCCTGTATAGGTAGAGATAAGTTACAATCTGTGTTACACAGATATGGGACATTAGCAGTGTTTGGCAAAGTTTTCAATCCATTCATCATTTCTTTTTGTTTAAGGAGCTGAGATCTGAAGTAGAACTGGAGGTCTTTGGAGACACAGAAGGACTTGATCTCTCTTTCACTGCAATCTGTAACAATGGCACCTTTTTTCAACATAAGAGGAAATGCTCTCAGGTGAAAGTGGGAGAGATGGTAGGTAAATAAGAGTTTCTCGAAAGACATTAATTCCAGAGACTTCAAAATACCAGGGTAGAAGTTCATTCTTTATTAAATAGTACTCTCCCAAATAAGTTGCAAGAAATCAGGAAACCGCTCATGCATTCTTGTTCTCTCCTCTGCATGTGCTCCCAGCCTATCTTGCAGTCCTCGTTGTACTGAGCTTTGAATAGACAACACTTTCTCTTCCAGGTCTCTTTTAATATGACCGTAAGTCTCCCTACTTGTGAAAAAAATAGAAGACGTATTGTGATCAAACCAGTGGGTCTCAGTGATGTCCTGGAAATTGAAATTCATCCACAATGCAGCTGTAACTGTCAGGCAAAGGCTGAGGCAAACAGCTCAAAATGCAACAGTGGGAAAGGATCTTTTGAGTGTGGAGTCTGTGTCTGCAGCCCTGGCTACGTGGGTCCACATTGTGAATGTGATGAGAATGCCCCCAGCACTAATTCTTGCAAGGGCTCCACAGAACAGAGTTCCTGCAGTGGGAGAGGTGACTGCTACTGTGGGCAGTGTGTTTGCCACTCATCGATGTATGGAAAAATTTATGGGCCACGTTGTGAATGTGATGACTTCTCTTGTGTGAGGCACAGAGGACTTCAGTGCGGAGGTATGTTCCCTCTGAAGTATTTTTACTATGTATAGCTTAGAACCTTATTGCCTTGCTATTAGCTATGATCTTACAAACATCTATTTTCATGATGTATTAAATTATAATCTTTTCACTATGAAGTGCTGCAACTTATATTTCTGAATTATCTTTAATTAAAACCAGTAAGCAATTTTAATCCTGTTTTCAAATGTTAAAATGATACATCTTTAATCACTCTGTAGCTAGTTCAAGTTGGCGTAGCTTTTCTGGAGCCTATCAGCTTTCATCACACGGGGTCAGACTTTTAATAGCTGTAATGATTGTAGCTCCAGGGAAGTTTAAGTAAGTATATTGACTTACATTAGTGTTAAGTACTGTACAATTTCACTCTGGCCTAATTTTCAAAGTATACCCTACTTAATCATTTTTATGCTGTGATCTTTTTAAATTTTAATCCAGTGAACTAGATGATTTCAACTATTCTCAGTTTGTTTCAAAATGAGTGCAATAAGATTTTGAGAGCTTATTCTGGGCTGTGTCATTATAAATCAGAAGTGGTGCTGGTAGAACAGTGGGAATAGTATCAAACTGGCATGAACCTGTCATGACACGGTGCTGACTAGATAGACTGGGATCATGCTGCTATTAGTGAAAGAGGATTTACCCATTAAGTTGTGCTCTGCTGGGAGATAAGAATCTATCTGGAGGACTCCAGTGAAGTGAATGGGGCTGCGCTGGCTTGCAGCCAGATGAAGTGAAAATTTGATCCTCTAGTTTCAAATTGAAAATGCTGAGGGAGGTAAAAGGATGGTTTAAGAGTGAGAACAGTTGGAGAAAACATCTGTTATTAAGGAAAAATATTTTAAAGACAATCGTTTGGATTTGTATTAAAACTTTGACCTTAGGTATAATGATTGTTTTTGCAGGCAATGGTGACTGTGATTGTGGTGAATGCATGTGCCACAGTGGATGGACTGGGGAATACTGCAATTGCACAACCGACACCAGCTCCTGCCTTTCTGAGGATGGGATGCTGTGCAGCGGGAGAGGGGACTGCATCTGTGGCTCCTGTGCTTGCACACACCCAGGGGCTTCTGGAAGCACGTGTGAAAAATGCCCACTATGTGGTGACCCTTGCGGTTCTAAACGGTAATGTGCCATTACTTCTCTGATTTTTGTATCGTTCAGGTAACTGTAGACTCGGCAGTGTGTTTACTGCTGCTATTTCATTAGAGCTACAGACCAAAATTCGAGAGTGTCTCTGTATTCTTAATAGGGCAGTCGTAACTCAGTCGTAACCAACCGTTTCTTGACATTGCTCCTGTATAGCAGACCTTTAAGGAAGGTGGTTTAATCACCTTCAGATAGCACAAGTAAAACATTACACTGTTCATGACTGTACAAATACTCAGCGTGGTGGCCTTCAGCGATATCAAGCAAATGCAGATGAATGACCTTCTCTCTCTAGTACAGAATAAAAATACCCCAGCCAGCAGAAGTGAGAACTCACAGCAAACAAACTGACAAAAATTTGGAATTTTTATTATATTCTCCTGTGTTTGAATTAATAAGGTCATACTACCTGCTCCGCTTTCTATACGCACAAGTTCATATTCCAAATTCAGTTCAGTTTGATTGAATTAAACAGGCCTAACAAAGATAAACTAGGTCATAGCCGAGAGATAAAATCGAGGGAAGCTGTATGTCACATATAACTTTATGATAAACTGACTGTAAGCAGTGAAGTGTCTTCTATTCACAAAGCACACATAATATGTGTAGGTTGCCCACTGTGATGCATAGTGTGTGTACAGTTTGTGATAGGAAAAACAACTGAAAAATATGTGCAAAACAAAACTTACCCCTCTAAATACATGTGTGCTTATGCTTGTATTACCTGAGCTCTTGCAGGGCTGAAGTTGGTCCAGAATAAGCAGGCCTTAGTGCAAATTTAAGCTAAGAATCACAGAACACTAGTTATTAATGACCCTGGTTTTGCTTACCGAGTCCTGAGTTGGTGTAAGTTGCATTAATGATTCATGACTAAATCATGTCTGTTTATTTAGAGCTGAGGCCCATTTCTTTTCCACATTAGCTCTCCACCATTGTAGTTTCATGCATGTCTTTCCAACATATACTATATGTGAGATGAAAATCTGTTCTGTGACATGTAATTTAGTTGTCGTTTATGTTATGTCGTTTATGTTATTGCTAAATCTGCCCTATAAAAGAAAGCTTTGTTCAAACTTCAGGCACACAGGTCTACGTAAGCATAGTTTAAGTAAAGATAAATTTTGTGTACAAGAGCTCTAAACACTAAGTACAATGATGCTGCTCTACTCTGCCCAGTTTGGTAGAGAATAAAAAGAAATATTAAGTTACATGATGGATGTTCCGTTACATTAGCCTATTTAAACATGTATATTCTACACAATGTTAGATCTTTTCTCTCTCTTGCAGTCACTTGCATTGCTGAGATGCAGGACTGGGAAAGCCAAAAGACACAGAACATTTGGAATACTTGGATAGGGTAACCAAAAGAGCTAAAACCCCAGGTCAGAGGGGATAGAGATTAATGGGTAGGCAGCTGAGAAAAAGAGAGTGGTAGGATGAGAAACATGGCAAATATGACAAAAACACCAACAACACTGAATTTATCTCCGTTAGATAGAGGATATCCCATTACCCACTCACTTTTACTATTCACCACTTCCAGAGCTAGTGATAAGGTCACCTTCATCCTGTGAAAATAATCTCCAAGGCCTCATCTTTATTCTCATGGAGATATGTTACTCAATGCAGCAGGAGGTGGCCAGGTTTTTTGGGGATGTTTTGCTGAGGTTATTCGCATTCTACTTTATTTGTTTCCTTTTTCTTTTATTTTTTTTTATTTTTCCTTTTTTTTCTTTTCCCTTTCCCTTTTCTATCTTTTTTTTTCTCCTTTTTCCCCTTCCCATTCGAAATTTTCATATATGAATTCTGTTTGTATTTCCCTTTTTCAATGAATTAACTCCAGTCTTACTAGAAGCATTGTGTTGCTGTGAAATTTTTTTCATAGGCATCTATGGGAATTGATTTAGACTCTCTCTCTCTCTTTTTTTTTAATATCTTAGTCATTCCATTGTTAAATAAAGTAAATAAATGGAAAATGCTCTTCCAATAAATTGCATCAGTATAATTAACGTTTAAGTAAGTAATGCCTGAGACAAGTAATTGCATTCAAGAGACATCTGTTGAGACAGCTGAACAGTGTTTTTAGTCAGTTGATAGATATAATGCATTATTCAAAAGACTTTCAACAAAGGAATACTTATAGTAAGTGCCCCAGCTTGATCACACTGAAGTCAATGACAAATATTGTTCATTTGATAGACGTTTCTTTGACTGGTATTTAGCGTAAACCTCGTTCAGAGTGTTTTTGAATATGACTCTTATGCGTGAGTTATACCTATGTCTGTAGTAGACCTATATGATTAATGTTGCCTGGGCTTCTGTCTGGTGTCTAATAAGATCTGGGAGAGAAAGAGGACAAGAAAGAGCTTATCCACAATACCTTTATTCTTTTTTTTTTTCCTGTTGTCAATACCTATCATATTTCTGAGAATTACTGTATCCATATCACAAGCTTTTGTAAGCTTGTTTTTTTTTTTAATGTAGATGCATACAACTTGTCTTTATACTGGTGGTTTGTGACAGGCAGAGAATGATGAGTTGTTGAATTATATTCCACAGGAGCTGTGTAGAATGTCATTTGGCTTCTGATGACAAGTCACAGGGAGAATGCAGTGAAAAATGTAAATTGGTGGATGCAACTGTCAGCACTGCAGAGGGTTTGTACACTCTTTTTTTCTTTGCGTGTTTGTGTGATTAGACATAGTTTTCCCTTTCAGTAATTTTATATTTGGAAGTAGCCTTGCTTTTCTACCATGGAATTATGTTAGGTCATAGGTCATTTGCAGTATGTCTACCACTGTTGTGTGGTAGTGAGGAACTGCTTTTATCCCTCCAAGCTGATTAACTCATTGGAACACACCTATTTTCTAAGCAGTTTATATAAGAAAGAAAGAATTGAATAAATACTGCTCCCTGTACACCAGTGGCTGATGGAAACCCCTGAGATCAAGTCAAGCCTCTATCCTAAGTTTATGTGGCTTCTTTTATCTTACAAATACTAAATGACTGATTTCAGTCATCATGCAGACTGTTGATTACAGCAGGTAGCTCCCCTAGACACAGACCTTTAATCTATGTAAAGACATTCTGCTTCTTGTCAGTTTTTATTGAGACATTTCTAGTACCCTAAAGGTGAAATGCATCATCTGCGGCTCACAGCAATTTGAAGCTGTGCTCCATCAATGAGAGTTCTCAGAATAGAAACTGACCTTATATAAAATACTGCCCTCACAGACAAAGAAGTGTTACTTTATACAAAATATTGCATCAAGGCCCTTTCCTTTTTCTTCTTTTTCTGCTTGCAGAGAAAGTTGCTTGCCCATACAGTAGGCACTGGGTATTTATTTTAATGTCAACAACTCCAGTCCTATGGCAAAACACAGTGTACATGATGCAGTACATAGGTGTGATATGTCCACATCATAGACCTAACATTAGCATTAAACAATGCTGACAAACATAGTAATTAGGATGATGATGCAGAATGCTTTATGTGTATGTATGCTAAACTGTTAAAAACCTATATAGAGCTACATACATGCAAAAATTTCAGTGATATGTTTCTGAGAAAGCTCCAGCATTACTGCTTTGGAGGGCATTACTCCATAATAAAAAGCTCAAAAGTTGCAAATAATTCCCTCAGAAAGGAAGGCTCTTTCTAATGTAATGTGTATACTTCTATTAAGTGCGTACTTTATTATTTTAAGTTATACTTCTATAGACTAATGTATTTGCATATAAATACGAATCTTTTTATGTCGAATTCAGAAACAGATAAGGAGTATTTGTTAAAAGCCTGCAAGTAGAAAGGGAAGCAGCTGCACACCAAATATTTGAGCACTTTTATTGTACCTATGCAGTTAGTGAAGTTTATAGATATGGCTTATAGATCAAGTTTAAATATAGTTTACAGATCAAGTCTTGTCCTTCCCTGATTGGGACTGTCGCCTTCTTTAGATTTAGAATTTGTTTACAGTAGTTAGCAACTGCTGTACTTAGAGCTGATTAACTGTTCTAATCCCTCAAAAACAAAACTGTTCACAAATTGTTTGGATGACAAGTTGTAAACAGTTTAAAGTATTTAATTATCAGTATTTAATTATTTAAATATTTGAGATGGATGCTTAGCATAACTTCATTAGTATCACAATGCTTCTTTCTGTTTTTCTTTTTTTTTCATAGTTCAAGACTTTCTGAAGATTGAAATATAAATATATGTAGGGTGTATAATTAAGTAAAAATTGGTGCTTTAAATATCAACGAGCTTTTTTACATCATAGCAATATATTAAGTGAAACTGAGTAGCTGTTAAGAAAAACTTATGATTTTACACTTATATGCACTTCTTCTGTTTCTTTGGAAAACTTGTTTTATATTCTTGGCAGCACTTTTTGCCTACTCGGTTTCAGTTCTGGGTGGGCTGTGGTTTCCCTTCCTGCTTCCCTGCAGCAGGGTCACTTGTGCCACCACTAGCGCTCCCGGTTTGGAGATCACACAGGGCATGTGATGACGCAGCAGCTCGTGAGGAGCTGATGGTTTCAAATTTACTGAGCTGTGGCTTCTCTCAACAGCAAATAGCTCTTCTAGATATTTGTTTTCTTTTTACCTATTTTGAATGGTTGGATTTTTATTCAAAGGAAGGGTTGATCACTTCTTTGCCAGATGAGTCAAAGTTGAATCTTTGCTGCTGTGATCGCTACCCAGGCGGAACCATAATTCCTAAAACCCAGGATCTTCTCTTGACCCCAGTCATAGGGCTTGCAATCCTAAAACCCAAAAGACACCATTACAATTTCTTTGGGGAACTTGAGCATTTCCTCCCCTTCCATTTCCTTCTCTCCCCTGTTGCTCTGCTATAATGTCAACTCCACACAAATTTCCCATCCAACAGGAAAGTACGAGACATATCCTAAAGAAGCTTCTAGCTTAGTGCTCTGGTGTTATCTCTTAAAGTTAGATGAAACTGTCCTCAAAAAGCCTTTTGCTGAGCAAACACAAACAAGAAAGTTCGTAATGACATTTTTATTCACAGTCAACATTTTTGTTGCATCCTTTATCTAAGCATCCATTACAACACAGCTTAGTCTTTTGCATTTTGAGGATCCAGCTAAGGTTACCCAATTTCTATGCCAGTGTGACTCCACACTGGGAAAAGTACCATGTTCCATTAGAAAACACAAAAGAAATACAGGTGTAAATTATGTGAGTGTAGGTACACACTGAGAGGTTTTCTGCATATGAATTAAAAATGGCTTAAGCAATACTATCTGTAAGTGAACCTTCACCCTAAAAGCAACATCAGAGGAAAAAAAAATACTAAGCATAAGTTGAATTCTGAATAAGTTGAGATGCTATTACTGCCTTAATTTCTCAGGCCCTGCACAATATCATATTTCTGCATTCCTTGGTCTCAAATTATGACTAAATTAAATTTTTATTTTAAAAAAACTAATATATTTGCAGCTTGTGCTTTTTTGGAATTTTGGCATACTTGAACATGTTTGTAGGATGTGCTGTGCACTCTGAAAGGCTAGAAACTACTACTTTGTGTGTGTGTGTTTTGTTTTTGTTTTTGTTTTCCTCCTAAAGTAAAATTATTTGTATCTTCTTGCTTAAAAGAGTTGGGAAACAGCAAATATTGCAAAATCTGTGATAGTTTTATTGGACCTGTGAACTGCCAGAGAGTGTCACCAATTCGGTACACCCAGTCCGGGGTTTTCAGTCCTTTCAACAAAAACAAGTCTTGTTAAATCAGCAATTCCTGCCTATTATCTTACTAGATAACATATCACTCTGTAGCATCAAGGGCAGACAGCAGGTTAAGTGTAAGACTATCACAAATCAAGAGGATGTTCCCATTAAAATCAAACCAGATGTGATCCTTGGGTTATAAAAAGCAGACAAAATGACAGTGGCATGTTCAACTACTTGAATTTTCATACTCTCTGTATAGTTTACCAGGGTTTGATATATAGGAAGGCCAAAATCTTATGATACTAGGCAATATGTTTTTTTAAAAAAAGAAAATGACCACTTGATTCTTGATGAACAGTACCTTTCTTTAAAATGCTATTATTGTGGTCGGATTCCTACTCTGTGTTTCATTTGTATTCTTGGTATTAAAGTTGGCAAACTTAAGATTTTTAGCACAGTTGCTTATGCAATTTCTGTACCTGCTTTAACTAGATAAGATGGACAGAGTTGAAATGACAGTTGATTGTCAGTAAAGAAATGTTTGAGAAACTCAGTTTTCTCTCGCCTGTAGAAATTAAAAAAAAAAAAAATGGAAAAATGTATTGAACAGCAAAGCTAATTTACCAGTGTTCTTTAAATCATGGTTTATATGGAATCATAACAAATACTCAGCCACAGAGATATGTATGCAGTTATGAAGCAGGGTATTTTTGTTTCGTAAAAATATTATATAATGGCTAGGATCAGGATTTGGCATTTCTGGCATTGGACTTGTCATTCCAAATTTTGATCATCTTATTTGGTTTTCATCATCTGTCACTTCTAACTTAACCCTTTTTACTCTCATGCCTTTTGAATTAACTTTTTTAAGTAGAAAGGTTTGCAAGTTAGCAATCACCTGGGAAAAAAGGGAAAAAAAAAGATTACATTTTTCCGTAAATCTACGTTAAATGGAGGGACAAATAAAACAGGGCAGACTGTCATCTCAGATTACATTTTATCTGTTTTCCATTGAATTCTACTACAAAGATCCTAGAATTGCAGTTTTCTGTTATTGATTTATATTTACTGTAGTGACAATACATGACACACTAGTATTGGAGAGAACTATTGTAGAAGAAATAAAGAGCAGCCTTTTTAACACTATCAAGTTCTGTGTGATACAAGTATATCTACTTTTGAAACATAATCTGAACTTGCTAGGGGTAGCTCTAAACTGACCAGAACATACTGTTTACTTTGTCCTATAATTGAGGACTATTGCATTTCCTAGACAGCTGGTGGTTAAGTGGCTTGGAGGAACTTCCTTTTCATTGAAATTCACACTATACCAGATTCATAAAGTGCACTTGATGGTCAGTACAGATTGACAACACCTGTATCTGTTGTTCTGAAATACAAGTTGGGGGGGGGGAGAAAATGCAAACTAAAGAAATGTAGAGTAGAAAGCTGTTAAATTTAGTAGTAGTTCTGAGGTTACTTCTGCTTTTTTTCACTCTTTCTTATATACAGACAAGGCTGTGATGGACATTATGCCATTTATCTCTCTTGCTTTACATGTTAAATTTCCCTTGATCTGCTGGATGACTTTTTTTCCCTCTTGTAGATTTCTCACAGGATAAATCCATTCCCTGCTCTTTGCAGGGGGAAAATGAATGTGTTACCACATTTCTCCTGACTACGGATGAACAGGGAAGAACAATCATTCACAGCATAAAAGAGAATGGTAAGCAGGAAATACTGCTTTTTCTCTATTGAGCCTGATTTAAAAATACAGGCCGTCAGCACTGGCAAGCTGAGCTATTTTAAACAGCAGTGCTCCTCCTTATCTTTGTAATTCTCCTCTGCCCAGCCAAAAGAGCACCTCCTAAAGCATTTATTTCATGCTGCAATAAAATAAACACCCGGCCTTTCATGAAAGATGGGCAGAATGATCCAATGGATTCACCAGGTACTGCTGTGTTACAATCTCGGCTGTGGCCTTAGACAAACTGCTTTGTCTCTGTGTGAGTTTCCTACCTATAAACTCCACGACTGCAAGCTGCAAGCCTCCTCCCCACCCCAGCCTCCAAGGGCTGCAAGTTAATTTTATGAAAGCTCTGCACAGTTCTAAAATGATAACACTGAACATCCTTCATATTGTATGCAACAACTCTGTTCAACTTGGAAATATCATATGTTTCCCAGACCAAGAAAAATTCAAATTACTATCTTGTTGGATATACCTGACGACATGAATATGCAATAGAATGCTAAGATATCTTTATAATTAATATTGTACTACTGCTAAGTTTTGAATGAGTTTCACATCACTAGCCTAAATTTTTAAGAGACCTTTTTATTATCTGATGTCCTTTCATTTAACATTATTTCTTTATTTCCTGTTATTTTGATTGTGATTTTTCATTTGAGATCCTAATCATGTGGGACAGGAGAGAACATGGACACCACTTTCCAACAGGCAAACAGTTTGGTTTCTAGGCAATAAAGTGCTTTTTTTTGGATACACCCACTGCCTCAGGGCTAAATGTTAATTAAGTTTTATGGAAAATCATGCAGATCTGTAGTTTTATTTTGTTGGTGTCAGGCATAAGATTTGAAGATATCCTCCTATTTTTGTTAACTCTTATGTAGTGTTTCTATAGCATACCTATTGAGATTCAAAATGATTTCACTGCATGAAACAGCAGCTTCTTTTATAATAAGAGTAATCTGGTTATACATAGGTTATGTTTAGAGCAAAGATTTTTGTAATAAGGGGTAATATTAGAGAAGTACATTCCTTTCTAAACTGCCTTCCTAAGACTCAAGAATTTAAGAAGCATGGGAAGGTGTTTCCCCTATCAAATCTATACTATACATGTTAGGAAGATATGAGGGGGAAAAAAAAAAAAGAGCTATCTTAAGGGAGGTACAGTGTGTTAAGCCTTCTGTAGCAGCCCTCCCACGACTGCCAAACCAACCTCGTTGCCATCTGTTACTCTGCTCCTGGGGCTTGAGCAAAGGGGGAATGTTCTGTGGCTGCCAGTGAGTGTGAATGAGGATGAGACCACCTGAAATACTTGTTCTACAGCTTGGTGTCACCCATGGGATGTCAAGATGGCACCAAAAGCCAGAGCATTAACTCACTGCTCAACCAGACCTCTCCGAATTAAATAAATGGCACCTACCAACCACTTTATGCAAAATATAATCCCTGTAAGCCAAATGTAACTGAAATGAATTTTCAATGTTCTTAAACTCTGGCTCAACAGAAAAGTTTGTAAAACTGACTTTCATGACCAAGACCTCTTAATATTACAGTAATTCCTTAATTGAAATTTGCTGATGTGAGTCATCTGGTCTGGTCTACATGATTACTTTTACACTGAATCCTTGGGAAAGAAATGATATTCTGGAATAATACTGATTTTGAGTGATTTAGTTTGTATTTTTAAATCCCACCTTCTGCCTTAGATTGCGAGTTGTTACATGAGAAAAAGAGGATAGCAAAAATTAAAGCAAATGTTAAGAAATATATTGCACCCCTAACACATTTGTAACTTAACTGTGTAAGAGAAAAGGAAACACACTTAAGATACAAAATCTAGAATTCATGCCTCTGGTTGAAATGTGTCTGACCAAATATGCAACAGTTGTCCCATCTGCACATTGATCATCTCTATGTAAATTGAGAGGGAAATGTATGTGCCCAGGTGCCAGACCAAGCAGCCGTTACAACAGACCTCCCTTAGCGTTGCCTCGTGCATCTTCCTGATATGTGGTATCCCCGTGGCCACATGGTTGTGCAATGGCACTCCCACCAACTCATTTAAATTCTGTCTTTACCCCTTGTCACCCATGTTATCTGGAAGTCCTGCTTTAGGTGCCTTTCTATGAAAGTTGTGCTTTTTGTTTAAGACAACATTTTCTTTTTAGTGCTTCCACTGGCCTGTGCTCTAACGTAGGACACCAAATTCAGTCTTCAGAGCAGCAGTTCTTTAACCCTTCAGCTAAGTCTAACGTCACATGTATTCAGCAGTTGGATCTAAACATTCATTTTTGCCAAGATTGTGCTCATATTTTCATTAGAATATTTCCAAGTCTGCACAAAAGAAAAGTTCCACTGCAGTGTTATTTCCTAGATCTTACACAAAAGATCCACTGCAGTGTTATTTCCTAGATCTTACCTCTGCATCGCTGAAGTGGATGGCAGTCCTTCTACTCTTGTTATTTTGAATGATTATATTTTTGATTGTTTTTTGACTAAGCAAAACTTAGTAGTAAAACTTCAGTGATAACATCATAAAATTCATAATCTTTTCAACTCCACTCTACTTTTTAGAGTTAAAATGCCTCAAATTTGAGAATGATTTTCTAACTTTTCTTCTCAGAATGTGGATCTCTATCAGGCAGTTGCTGTTCAGCATTGTAAAAGCACCATGGAAGATGTCACTTCAGTAGATTTCTAAATCTTAAATGCAGTATTTTTCAGACATTTTCCCAAATTATCAGGAGAAAGCTAATATGGACTTGCAGAAAAATACAAGCTCCCAGCAAATGAGAGCTAGAGGCATCTTGTCTGTTTTTTTAACTAGTTACAACTTTTTGGGTTTGAACTGTTTCTGTTTCCACAGATTGCCCACAACTTCCAAATATCCCAGTGATAATGGTGGGTGTCACACTTGCTATCCTTCTGATCGGCGTTGTTTTACTTTGCATATGGAAATTGCTAGTATCAGTTCAGGACCGAAAAGAGGTGGCCAGATTCGAAGCAGAAAGATCAAAAGCTAAATGGCAAACGGTATGTCACATGCATTAATTTTATAAGCCTATCTTTACTTTGGCTGAATGACAATGTCTGAAATGTCTGTTTTATCTTTATTTTGTTCTTTTAAAATGTTAGATTTTACTGGTAGATTTTCACTGCATTTAATATTCTATAAATTAAAATAATGAGTTTTTAGAGATAAGTGAAAACTAGCTAGAGTTGAATATCCCAGTTTGTTTCCTCCATATGTACAGAATAACCTTTTATTGCTTTATTTTATTCTTTTTAAATTGATACCTGGCCTCTGATTAATCTTACCAAAGTTGGCCACTGTCTCTAGAATTATCAGCATTATACAATTCCTCCCACAAACTGAGGCTGATTTAGGAAGAAGAGATTATCAGTTGCCTCTTTTATGCTGAGAGCCCACTTATATTTAGGAGCAATGTAAGCTGTCCAAAATGTAGGTAAAAGGACAGAGAAATCTAGGGCACAGCTTCTATCTATAGCTTGCACATGTCTAATGCAGGATTATTCCATATGTTCTTTCCCTCCTGCCCATGGCTTTTTCTGTCCTTCTGCAATGGTTTTTAAACTCGTGAGACTATTTGAAAAAAATGAATGTTAAGTTAGCAGTCCAAAGAGTGTCGGAAGGATATGTGATACATTGCAGTTTGCTCAACTGTGTTCTTGTCCAAAACGTTATGATTGCAACATTTCTGCAAGAGCAGATACTTCCTGCCTTTCGGATTTTGAGACCACAAAAAATGGTTACTTACAGGCAGAGCCACTTCAGAATATTTTCCTAATCCTTTGAGAGAGCTATATGGTAAGATGGAAAAGAAGAATATGCTAGATAGAAATATATATTTTTTTTCTTTTGTTCCAGAACAATTTCTTTTGTTCCAAAAAAAAATGGCACAAAGGGAATGAGAGGCAGGTATTAAAAGCTGAGAGGGGACTTAAACCCTCCTGCCAGTTCATCATAGTCTCAAGGGAGAGACCCATGGCAACTAACACTTCACATCTGAGAATACATTTTCATTTTTTAGAATTGTACAACCATGAGATTTGATATGTAAATTGTATTAGACATATGCTGGGATGCATCTTTGATGTCTTAGGACACACGTTTGAAAGCAGAAAGGCACTTGTTCAACTGTGTATGAGTTGCCCAATAGGGCTGGGTTGGGGATGGTTGGTGTCATGAGTCAACGTTATTCCAGTACTGAAGAGGTGCATTAAAGACAGCGCCTTGCAGCTCTGTGTGCTGCAGCTGAAACAATGGCAAGGTGACATGCAGTGACTTCCATTTCTTCTGTTTGTTTTTAGGGAACAAATCCACTATACATAGGCTCAACAACCACATTCAAAAACGTAACTTACAAGAACCAGGAAAAGCAAAAAGGGGCCATGACTGCAGATTTCTACTAGTGCTTCCAGTGCTGCAGACTTCATTTGACTGGCAGGAAACCTAAAAACATTTTTCTGCCCTTATTTCTTCTCAGCTGATTATGTGGTATTTGTTTGCACGCTGCAGTGGTCTAATAATTCTGTTAGTTAAATATGTATTGTGTTAGGGAAAAAATAGGAACATTAAAAAAAAAAAAAAAAAAGCTTTAATACTAAAGCCTCCCTTCCCCCCCCGCCCCGAATTAATCTTAGATGGTATCCCCAATAATTTAATCTGCTCATTAATAACAAGGATTAAAAAGTATCGTAAGCAAGCCTATTTCTGTGAACTTCAGTATGTACAATGAGTTTTATATTACCTTGTTCATCCATGCAATGCTATATATTTGTGTCTAGGCATGTATTTTTAGCAATTTACTTGGTGGGATGGGTTAAGTTTAAAAAGGATAAATTTTTCATGAATGCTGCTTAAACTACAGAGGTTAGAGGTGGGGCTGAATAACTTCAGCTCCACTCAGCTGTGGGACTGAATAACTTTTTTCATCAGAAACAATTAGTGTTATGGCCTGTCTTGAATGTACCTAAGGTATCTAGAAATACTTCCTTTCTAATTCTGCTTTCTTGCCTTGTTTCCCTCCCTCCATGTCCTTGAATCTTTTCCTGTTTGATGTTATTTAAAAATCCTTCCCTGGAGTTATTTCAGGGTAAGATAAATCAACCCTTATTCGTTCTAGGTATGCACTGCTTTTTATTTTGTTTCCTTTGAATTCCTGCAGAGAGGACCCAGAGTGAAAAGAAGTATTGGTAAATTAGAGAATCCAGATGAGAAATGTTATACCAGAGGATTACCAAAGAAAAAAATCTTTTTTACCCTTTCCATCCTATTTAGACACTCAAAATAATGAGCTGTGGCACGAGCTTTTTACATGCAGGAAAATTTCACACACAAGACTTAATATCACACCTAAAGACACTAGTCTTTCGTTGATGCATCTCAAATTAGGAGTTTTTTTTCCTTTTATTTAAGCCCAGCAACTAAGCTTTTTGCTTTTTATGCGTATGAGAAATAATTTATTCAGCTCTTTTTAGCAGTTTTTTTCAAATTATGCAGTAAGTAGAACTATGAATTTCACTTGATATTCATTTCTATGACACTAATGAGGATTTTTAAACCTCAGTTTTAACTGCAGTTATTAATGACTTGTCATAAATTGTAATGCTGTTATCATACACATCACCGGGAAAAAATCCCCAAATCAGCATATGATGGCATTAAAATGGATTACTTTATTGGATTACTTTAAGCTAACAATAATGTACCTTCTAGATATGATTTTTATTTTAAATTTTTTTTATATACTGGAATGTATGGTCAAACTGTACATATGAATGTACATGAAAGAGAAGGATTGGAAACAAAGGTACATTGATACATATCACAGACACACCAATAATGTTCATTCCCTTAGGTAAAGCATGTATTTGATCTAAAAAACTTGATATCCATTTTTTTCAATAAATATTAACAAAGTCTGTGCAACTTCAGTCTCTATATCCCTTGCAATTATTGGATGTGAGACTCATATTTTAGATGCCTGTTTTAGGGCCTGATTCAAAGCCTCTTGGAGTCAATGGCTACAGATGAGGATCTAGTTTCAGTGAAACTATTAGTTTTGGTTTACAAAGATTGTTTTGTTTAAACAAACTGATTAATACTGTCTGTTAGTGGTCTAGAATCTGCATTATCTATTTCTGCACAAAGAGAAATAAACAGTATCAGAAGCCTTTGGGAAGAAGGTGATGCTATAACCACATGTGTAATGACGGCTATGGTTAAACTGGAACAGGCTAATTACAGGTTCATGTCTATACTCTTTGGTACTCTTGCATATCTCGGAATGAAAGATATATATGGACAGAGGCCTCAATTTGCAATCCTTCCAGCCACTAGACTCTCACAGATGTCAGTGCAGGTTATTTATGGTACCCAATCTGGTTTCCCTAGTGCATGAATAATCTCACTGGATGCAAAGCTGGCCCCCTGCATTCAGTGAGAGTTTTGTCTCAGGCTCCACTTGGGTCAGGATTGCTTAAAAGACAAGGGAAATTTGGATTTAGCCTATGGAAAATAGCTGTTACTTTTTCCCAAATAGAAGTCATCACATGACAATCTTTTTACGGAAAAATATTACTTCTGAACTAGTAAGCTATATTGCTTGTTATATAGCTTTTAAGTTCTGTTTGTCAGATGGCTGATTCTGCAGCTTAGGACTGAGGTTGAGACCCCTTTTGTAGGTCAACCATTTCAGTAGTAAATTATTTTTCAGTATTGCAAGATTTTAACTGAAATCATGTTCGCATTTCACATAAACACCAGTGGTCTACTGCCTGTTCTTACAGGAGGTTTCATTTCACAAGACCGATCAAACAGTTCCCATTTGTATCTTCTGTTCATCAGCAAAGATCCAAAAGGGTATGGAGATAATGTTTATACTCCAATTAATCCTCCTAGCAATCTTTCTAAAAATCATTAGTGGCATACAGAAATCAGGCAAAGTATCTTGCAGTTTCCTGTTCGTATTGTACTATAATTTTTCTGTGCTTCTTCAAAATTGTCAGAAGGAAAATCACTCCATTCATACAAGAGAGAAAACAGAAAGGCTCGATGAGAAAGACCTCTATCATTGAGGGAGGTTTGTTCATATGAGTCGTTCTTTTAAAATCATTAATTACCATAAAATTTGACTAAGATCCTAGATTTAAAGAACTTTCAAGGTCTTACTTGGGATTTGCCCTTGAAACAAGTGTAGTGTTCATTTCTTTGTTAACTGTATTATTTTTATCTTGTAGCACTGTCAGATTTTTTTTTTCTTTCTTTTCTTTCCCCACCAAATATGACGGTTTGTATGCAGTGAGTGGGATGGAAAAGTCTTTCTGCTCTTTTCATGAGTATTGTTTTGACCTGAGGCTGGACCTTGGGAAAGGCCAAAACATTTTTAGTAGACATACTTCTATTCACTGAAGAATTATCTAAATACAATAAAATTGCTGAAGATTTTTCTTTTGTTTATCTTTTACACTTTACAAATGGTAATTTCAGTAATGTGTCTTAATTAGATAATTTTTCATTTGATTTTTAAAAGTTGCATGCTATCCTGTATTTTTATGTCCAGCTCGCATTCATCTTTGTTTTGTAAAACAGGTGGTGGGTAATGAGTCTTAGACACAAGACTCAGATGTCAAGTGCAATACTCTGTGTGCTGTCTATCCTATTCTTGCTTGTTTTCCAGTGGACATAAAGGAGTTATTGCTCCACAATTTTGATTGCACATAACATAAAAGAAAAAAAAATCTTAGTCCATTTGCAAGAGGCAGGTAAATCCCATGAGCTTGTTGCTGTAAAGTGGTGTTATTTAACCTTGAATAAAGACTGTAAAACTGAGTGAGCTTTTTTTCCTTTGTCAAACATACTTTCATTGCCTTTTCTTCACGCAGTTTCACTGTGTCACCTTACCATATATGAACTTCACTATGTCTGGATGTTCTTTTGTTTTGCTTCTTAGGGAAATAAGATAATGAATGAATCTTGTAAGCAATTGTCAGCAGTGTTATCCTGAAAATATGATTGACTATTCAAGGCATGTTTTTTTATATAGTGATTCTTGAAGTGCTTAACTTGCTGAAAGCCAAAGAGCTGCTAATTCTGGAAGTGTAGTAACAGCATTACATCTTTAGAACTACATGGCCAAGTTTTTTCTCTTCTGTTTAATCTGAAGGTTAATACTCCTTTTTCTCCTGTAATGAAAATTCATGTGTTTTGTCATAGCTGCTCCTTTGAGCAGGAAATTAGTATTCCTCTACATCTTTGATAGAACTATATTTAAGTCTATTGTATTCTCCAGGCACGCGATAAGAGCACATCCTCTTGCATTTCACAGCAGATTGTGAAAACTGAAATGGATTTGATTGCATGATTTGTATACATACGCTGTGTCATTTAGAACATATTCGACATGGAGTCTATACATTTTCATTTTTGATGGTTTCCATGAATGGCTCAAGCCTCAAAATTTTTGTTTTTCTGTGTCTCCATTGAAGTACATATCAGTTCATACTGAGAGATATCAATGAAAGCACAATGAGGCACAGAGTACAGTTAAATGAAAAAGCTTTTCCTTTTCAAGATCTTGGCATGACACAATATCCCTGGAAGCTGCTAAGTTTTTGCTTTGCCACCAATCACAGTGCAAAGAGCAGAGAGGAACAAAAATTGGTTTTAATTGCAACCTCTCCCTTCCTCATGTTATTTATGTTACAGCTTACATTTATTTGAAATTAAATAGTGTAACTTAAAACTGTTTTAATAAATTTCCATATTCAAATAGACAAGGTTCTAAAAGCACAGTATATTTTTTAAATGCCAAATGCCATTTCTCCATGGGGTAAGTTTTCTCAACAGTATTTTTTTTTCATTACTCTCCAAATCTGAATGAGGTAGGAGGATAAATAAAATCAAGGTCTTTATGTTTGAAGAAACAGGAAAATTTTATTTGATGTTCAGCAGTTGGATGTTACCTGTGTTTGTGAGAGCATGTGCTGCAAGCTTCTGGCTTCAGAGTTAATAACTAGTTCAAAGACAAGTTGTCCCTCCTGTTGATCTTGAAGTGGTTAAAACCCGCTTCCTCTAAAACTCTCAACTAACTTAAAAGTCAGACCTATAATTATAGTATAATTACCAAGTTACAAACCTGCTCCTGTTTCAGGTTATGGTTGATTTGAAAAATGACAGACAGAAAAAAAACAAGACAAAAAAAAAAAAAAAAAAGAACCATAAAGGTGTTAGAGAAATTAAGCCTGCAAAGAATCAAGAAGGGCACAGTGCTCTAAAAATCCTTAAAATCAGGGAATCATGACCCCCTCATTCCCCTTCAGTTTCTGCAAGAAAAGTCCTCCATGGTAATGTCATGAGCCAGTGCACAAGGCAACAAGCAAATGAGCAGAAAGCAGCAGAATTGGACTTT